GGTTAAGGTTCAGCCAGGCATCAGGAGCAACACGGAGCAAGCACACTAAAGAAGATAGCAAGAGCCACCACGGGACCTACCACTTCCCGCACGTGAGGTACTCCAGCCCTCAAGGACCACAGAGCCTAGTGGGGTGAGTCAGGAGCAAGGCCCTGGCAGAAGACTGCAAGCTGGGTTCCTGGAAGCCACTGAGCGACCACCCAGAATGAAAAGAATGGATCCTCTAGGCCAGTGGTGGCAAGCCTATGGCACATGTGTTATTTGTTTTTCTTTTAAGACAAAAGATGTATGAGTAGTTTTTTTCTAAAATTAAAACTCAGGTTTAATTGCATGTCAGCATTTTGTGATAAACAAGTGGGTTTTGCGTTGCAGTTTGGTACTCATGTCTAAGAAGTTCGCCACAATTGCCCTAGGCTTTCTAGAGCTGAGAAGAGGGAATCCCCTGCCTGGATCACCCCAGTGCTGAAAGGAGGGATTCCATATTCCCTCAGAATGGAAGTCCTGACCTTTCAGAGGCCTCCATTTGTGACAGAATATTTCTTCAACTTTACCTTAGGAAGTTAGAAAGAATATAAATCTTAGAAGTGAGTGTGACAGATCATCTAATCATTTCAAAGTCAGTGTTTTCTAACTCAACTGGGTGGTTTACTGTAGAAGAGTTTTTGTAAACAGTCTACCAAACCACCACCTTTCTCCCCAAATAACCTCAGCCCTCCAGAAAAACTTTGGAAGTCTTGATATCTTTCTTGTTTTGTCATTTCTGCCAAACGAAACTTCTATTTTTGAGCAATTCACACCTTTCAGTATGACCAAGAAGAACCCTGGTATCATTGGCCCTGCTGTTCTTCTTGAGACCAAACACAAACCGAGACTCCCAAGGATGGCTTAGCTGAAGTTCCAGATGCGTCCCGCAGGAGTGGCAGGTCTGAAACTCAGGATCATGCTCATTCTGGGTGTAGCACAAACCCATTCCACTCCACTTGGCTCTAGGCTTTTCTTTGTTATTTTATTTTTTAGCTTCCACTTTCACATAAGAAAATAAGTATGAACAAAAGAACAAAACAATCTCACACAATTCACTCCCCATCAATCATCAGCAGTGGACATTGCTATCTGTGTATTCTTGACCATTTCTGGGGAAAGACAGTTTGGGGAGAGGCCCAGCTCCTTCTTCAAAGTGGGATGGAACATCTTCACAGCCCCCTTTGGTTGATCCTCACAAGCTGGAGCTGGCTGCCAGGCTGGATGCTGTAGAGATGGGCGATGTCATTGTCACATCAGAAAAGCATCGCTGAGGACTAACTGTATCCCACTCTTTATGTGGCCTCGAGGAGATGAAGACTCTGACTCTTTGGAATGTCCCTGAAGTGACCGGATGGAACCAGTTTGGGCTGTTGGGTGCTGCATGACAGCAGTTTGCTCCTTTCTGCTGGACCCGAAGGTGACTCCTGATGGCAGTCTTCCCTTTGCTCCTGGGATGCAACCTGGGACGGGTGTCACCCAGTGTGAATGCAGGTGGCCTCCTGGAAGCTGCTTCCTGAGCTCAGCCCACTTTGCAAGCCCCAGGCCCTGGCATGTGGATAGAAAGCATGGGCTCATGGGCAGGGTGGTAAGAGCCCACTCTCATGCTGCTCCAGGGGGCAGAAACCTCACCTGCATCACTTTCTTGGTGAAGGGGCTTGGTGGAGTGGGGCTTGTTCTCAGACCCCAACCTCCTGACCTCTACTCCACACTGAGAGTAGGGAAAGGAAAGGAGATGCTTCCCTGAGACATCAGCTCTGCCGCCCACAAGCACTAGGCCTCCCAAAAGCCCAGTTCCACATGTGGGGGAGACATGGGAAACAGATAAGCTTCTGTGAATGAAGGAGGGAAAAGAAGGCTGCCTCCCTCACCCTTCTGTTTCCATCCTGCTCTGCACTGAGTTCCAGATGAGATGGCTGTGTGCTCGTGACTTTTTGGGCTACTATGGAGCAGACACAACAAGTTTACCCACCCGCTTTTCCCATTCCAGACATGGCAACGACGCTGTGCCTCTACCCTCTGCAGCAACGTTACAACCAAGTCCCAAGGTAACACTGACCTGGAAGCAGTTTGCCTGGGAAGGATTGGAGGTCAGCTCCCAAAATTGATGACGGGACACAGCGCAAGGGGCTACGGCTCATTCTGGAGCTGGACAGCCCCTGGCTGGGAGCCTGCACAGTCAGCTCTGCCTGCAGATGTGTGCTCTGTGCTCAGCTGCCATTGCAGTCTGGCTTTGCACCTTCTCTCACCTCCGCTATGGCTGACACTCTGCATTCATCCCTGCCAGTGGCCTGTCCCCTCCAGCCAAGACCACACAGGAGTAGGAACCACACCAGGCCAGCTCCATCCTGGGACTGCTCCATTCTTACCCGTCCCTCCTGGAACTCTCACAAGGCCCCTGAGCTGCTAACCTGCAGCCTCCAACCTTCTACCCTTCCACTGGTCTTGCTGAGCTGTATCTCAGCATCCGCTCTATTTTCCATTCACCATATCTACTGAGCTATTAAATTCATTCACTGACTTTTTCATGTAAATCCTGTTCGTTTCTAGATATTCTATTCTTTTTTAAGTTGGTTTGTCATTTCTTGTTTTTGTTTTTTTTTTACCTTGCACCTTGCACATGTTTTTTTATTGTATCTCTTGCTACTTTAGACACTTGACATTTAATCACTTGACAATGCCAGGTGCTGCCAGGTGCCCCTTCCAGGACACAAGTGGTGGACACCTCCTCTTTGCACTTTGGGTCCTTTCTCCTCTCAGCCCATCTTCTTGGAACTTGCTATATGAACATCTTTTGGGACCTGCACCAGATATTACAGGGACAGAGGCTCCAGGACACAAGTGCAAGCTCAGTTGCACATGCAAACATCAGGCTCAGACAGTGCTGCCCTTGCTGGCTTCTTTGTGGATAGGGTGTGTGTGCCATTGGTCCTCACACTGCAGCACAGAGCTCCAGATCTCGGCCCACGGTCCCCCAGGGAGGCCTCAGTACCATGGCCTCACAAACTCAGGCTCTTGCCTGAGCCCTCGCCGAGCAGACGAATGAGCTGCTGAGCAGCGACAGCAAGCTCGCTAAAGCTGCAGGGAGTGGGAATGGCTGTGGGTGCCTGTGAGCGTTGCTTCTCAAGATAGCACTGACGGCTCTCTGTGGCCACTGACATCCTGAGGGGCAGCACTGGGCCCTGCTGTCTTCGCCCCACTTTCAGCCCCTTTCCTGCTCCAGAAGCAATTTCTAGAGCCTCAAATCAGAAACCGGGATCTCCCTATCTGAACTCCTCCGGACATTTGGGAGACAGCAGGTACCTGTATCAGCCTCACTGCCAGAAGCTCCCAGTTGGGGCCCTGTTCCTCACCAATTCAGAGTTGCAGGTCTGGAGAGGACCTGGCCTCACAGAGACTCCTCAGGTTTGCTGTTGGCCCACCTCTAGCATTACACTGCTAAGTACAGAGAGGAAACTTCTCAGATAAAGCCAGCAGATAACTCTCAGAGGGCACAGTGACACCTCCCTTCCTTCTTCTTAGGTAAAAATTATCAACCCCAGGATCATCTTCATCATCAAACCACAAGACATTGTTGAAAACAGACTTGACTCCTGGTGATGTCCCTCAGCCTCTCAGCCTCCTACATGGGTATCCCAAAGGATCTGAGTGTACCTCAACAGAATACAAACAACCTGATCATCAGCCCGAGCATCACAGCCATGGTGCAGATGGAGGATACCAAGTCTCGGGGAGCCTGACACCCTCTAAAAATGGAGCTAATTAAGTTATCAAGCACTGCATCTGTTCCCATATAGAGGCAGCAACATACAAGGATATAATTCAACTGCTAAAAGTGTTCTCAAATCAAAATAGCTGTTCTGAAACCACACAACCCATAATTCCAGACCTGGGGTGGAGCTGCTGATCCAGGAACAGCTTCACCACAGCCCACTGCCCCGACCATCTAGGTTCTGTCTTCTCTTCCCACTGCCACCAGATGCTGAGGCCCATAGCACTGGCATTCCTGTCCCTGCCTGTGCAGCCACAGTCTACCCCCTCACATCTCCACAGCACTTCTCAAGCCTGGGTCTGTTAGAAAGACCCATGTAGGCACCTCCACCACGTCTAGAGAGCCCCCGTGATTCAACACCAGCTGGTGGGGCAAGGCCACAGTCCTGCACGCATTGCAAGCTCACCTACGCTAAGACCTGCTGTGGTGGGCTGTCCCAGGCAACTCCTCTCTTCAAATGGATCGCTGTTTCCTGGGGTTCTGTTATGGCTTATCTCCAGATGTCCCCCAAAGACTTCTAGGCTTATGAATGGGTCTTTGGAGAGGTTCCTGGATCATGGGTGTGTGACACTCATCAGTGGATTCATTCACACCGATGAGTTTACAGCTGAAGGTGATGTTGGGAGGTGGAGCCTGGTGGAGGAGGAGGTCACTGGGGTGTGGTCTGGAAGGATCTGTCTCCTTCTCACCTTCCTTGACCTTCTCTCTGCTTCCTGCTTGCCATGCTATGAGCAGCTCTCCTCACCAGGACCCTTTGCCATGCTGCCCTGCCTTGGAGCCACCCTACTGTGGACTGAAACCTCTAGAAACCATAAGCCAAAAGAAACCTCTCCTCCTTAGCATTTTGGGTGTATTGTCTCTGAGGAGAAAGTAACTAAGACAGGTTCTCATCTCAGCTGGCAGTTCCTCCAATGGCCCTCTCAGCTAAGAGAAATGTTTCAAAATGCTTCCTCTCTTGCAGCCCCTCTCATGCTCATCTCTGGACACCAGGGAACCTCACTAATGGGGGTGGGTGACAGTGTCCTTGGCCCTCAGGGGCCTGGACACCAGGAGCCCCACAAGTATTGGCCCTGGGTCAGAAGCACAGATGTTGCCACCCCCACAGCAGAGCCCCAAGAACATCTCTGCCTCTTTGCTGAGGCCATGAAAGACTCCAGCACAACCACTGTACAGACGCGGAAACCAAGCAAAGCAGTGATGACATTACCAGAGTGACTTCTCCACTATCTTGGTCCTGAAGACCTCCTCCTGGTCCAAGTTCACAGTGCAGTAGCAGTCCCTCATCTTGGTCGGCCCGGGGTAGGAGGGAAGGTTTTTGGCTTCCCCTAAAAAGTGAATAAGACATAGATCAATTTAGCACAGAGACAGCTGGTGCCTGTGCCAACCCACAGAGTGCATGTGACCTGTATCTTTGACATGGAGCTGCCGCATTCAGGGCACCACTGATCACACACACATTTCCAAGCAACAGGCTTACTTGGAAAGTCCTGCTTCCACCACACATGCTCAGCGCGCTGCAAGTCGTGGCTTTCTTGCTACAAGTCACAACACTGAGGGAAGGTCACCTGTCCCACTGACATGCAAAGCAACATGGATGGCGAACACAGGAAGTGCCTGACCTTGGAACTAAAGATTGTTTGTTTCATTTTAACCCACGTTAGTCCCTTTTAAAAAATATTTTAATTGTGGCAAAACACACACGGCAAAGAGTTTGCACCAACCATGTCTAGTGTGCAGTTCAGTGGAGTCAAGGCCCTTGTATTCTGCAGCCATCACCACCCATCTGCCGCATGCTCTCCTCCAGCTTTGTCCCCTTCCAAGGGATCAGCCCCTCAGTGGCCCCAGCACTCTTTTCCTGCCTGTCTCCGTGACACTGGTGACTCCAGGGCACAGATGTGCTTGCTCTTTGGGGACAAACTGACTTCACTGTGCACACCGCACCATGGCGCAGCATCCCCCAGAGCCTGGGGCCAAGGCTTGGGGAACGGCCTGGGCCTCGTGGGACGTCCTGTCCTCCGGTCACTGAGCCCTCCAAGGGGACCGTGGGAGCCCAGTCTTGCCTCCCTGTTCTGCTTCCTGGCCACGAGTGGCCAGCCTGCTCCACACACACTCCACCGCACACTCCACCATCTCCACCTGAGGCCCAGAACAGCGAGTTCCCAGTTCTGCAAATCCAAACAAACCCCTCTTTAAAGTCAACTGCTACAGGATTTCATTATAGTAGTGGAAAGCTGACTAATACAGAGTGCGACAGAATCTCCCTCCTTTTGAGGCTAAACAATATCCCATTTGCATAGATCACATTGTGTTCAGCCATTCACCTACCAAGTGCCTTTCTGTTTTGAATTTAATTTTATATTAACAGGTCAATACTGGAGCACAATCAGGGAGAAGAGCTCCTTCACTGACAAGATTAGATGACAAATTCCAGGGGCTTACAGCATAGAGCAATTTGCCCATTAGGAAGAGTCTAGAAGGAGAGCACGTTAAGGTCCCCGTCTTCCCTACCACAGGCACTGCCTCCCCGTGAGACCCATGAAGCATCTAAACACAGCAGGGAGAACAAAGGCAGAAGATGCCAGTCCCACCACACCCATGGGTGCCCATTTCCTTTTGTTAGAGAAGAGTCGGGGGCTCTGGGGCCTGACCTAGGACCTGGTTCAGAGGTGGGGGAGGAGGACAGAGGGTGGAAGCATTCTATTTGTTACTTTTCCAAAAAAAAAAAGTTTTACTTACATGCACGTCAGTGCTACTGTTCAGTAGCAGCAGGATGTATAGGAAAAACTTCCAACTGGCAGAGTCAGAGATCAAAACCCAAGGGTCTCTGAAGCCCCCAAACCCCCAGAACCACCAGGCACCAACCACTTTAGTCCTTCAGGCTGGTGTGGCTCTGAACAGCTCATTGCTCTTCTTAGCCTGTCAGCTGTCCCCAGAACATCTGTGGGCTCCTCTGTGGAGAAAGAGGCTGGGTATCCATTGCCGCTCTGCCATCAGGGGTGCTGCATCATGCAGGACCAAACCTGCCCTCTCTTAAGTGCCCATCACTGTCCTGTTTTCTTGATAAGTCCATTCAACCACACAAAATGCTATTTACATTAGGAAGTCATTGTTGCTACACCAAGTGCCTGATAGGCCCCAGGGTCCCCGGGACCACCATGGGCCCCAGTGTTCAGGTGTCTGGTCACTTCACATCACTGTGCAGCCCTAGCCTGGTCACTTCTGGTCTGGCTACTGCTGTGTCTTTCACTACCGTACTCTGGCAGAGAGTGCTCCACAGGGCTGCTCTGTCCAAGCCTGAAGTTTTCACGGAGTCATCTCTGATTTTTGTTGGTGTCCCCCTCCTGCTCTTCCTATGCCTTCAAGAACCAGGATGCAGATATGCTCAGTGTGACACAGGCCACTGTGCACTCCCACACTCCCACATGCAGAGTACACCTCTGTGAAGCTTTCAATGCTCCCTCTGTAGAAAGCAGACAGCCACCTCAGCACAGAAGGGACTCCTTCCTGGCCTGCCGTGCTCACTGCAGAAGCAGAAGTAGTTAGACAACAGCAGGTGATAGGGGACCCTCAGCAAGGCCCTGGGACCTCTCCAGGTCGGTGGCTCCCTGCAGGGTGTGGTCAGCACAGCTTCTCTGCTCCTTTTCTCACAACTGACAGGGATTGCAGGGCCACACGAGGGACAGGCTGACAACTCTGGGTTCTTGGGAATCAAGACTCAGACAAGGTTCCCAACAGTGGAAGGAAGCACCCTTTAAATCACAGCCTGACACAGGACTGCCCAGAATATATTAAAAGACTCTTCCAACCCAACAACAATATGACAGCCCATTATAAAGCAGCCACAGGACAGCATAGATATTTGTCCAAAGAAGATACACAAATGGCCAACATGGTGAGTCATTGTGAAACTGCAAATCAGAATCAGGAGACATACTTCACACCCAGAAGCATAACTATAATGTAAGAGAAAAAAGAAAGAAAATAACAACTATTGAGGATGTGGAGAAACTGAATGCTCATAAATTGCTGGTGGGACTATAAACACAGGTTTCTCAGTAGATTAAACATAGAATTACCACAGAATCCTCCAGTCCCACCCTAGAATTGAAAACAGGTATTCAATCAAAAATGTGCATGTGTTCATGACAGCCAACAGGCAGGAACCCCAAGAGCCTATTGCTGTGTGAACTGACAAATAAATGCAGGAGTATCAGGTTGCTGAGGTGGGTCAGATGTGGCTCCTTAGAGGGAACAAAGTATAAGTTTTGCATCTAGAAAGATCTGATGGCTGCACAATATTGTAAGTGCATTAGATGCCACTGAATTATAAACTTTAAAACTGCTAAAATGGTGAATGTGATGGCACATGCATTATGCAGTAATTTTTGTACTTTTGTACTTTTTACCGAGCTGTAATTCACACACCACACAATTCACCCTTTTAAAGAACACAACTCAGTGTTTTTCGGTGGATCACAGAGCTATGTACCACCACTCCATAGTCCACTGCCCAAAAGTACACTCATACCAGCAGCAGGCACCGTCTAAGTCTCCTGTGGCCTCAACACTCCACACACACATCTACTCCTTGGGGCTGGCTAGCTCTGGATCCAACACGCTGGCCCTGGCATCCTATGGCTTGTGCACTCAACTGGTGGCACAGCACCCACCTATTTCATGGTCACCCTTTATGGCTGAATGACACAGGCACCCACCCACCCAGGTCCATGAGCCACAGACCACAGAGCCGCAGCAAAGAGACAAGAAATACCACTAGAAGCAGGAGTCTTCACAAACTGGGAGTAGGGGGACCACCCAACCTCTCTGAACCTCAGTTCTGCTAATGGAGTGATTGGTTATCAGGCAATCCTCAGGTTTCAATTCCCTAGTCCTATGTCTGAAATAGGTAAACCAGACACCAAGTCCTGTCTCCCTCCATCTTCAACCCATTGAGGTTAAGATGCTGTGTTCTCTGCAGCATTCAGCAGGCAGAGCAACAACAACACAAGTTATGACCCTTCAGTCCTGAAGTACTGGAAACCTCTGCAGTAGGCTCCAATCTCCTGCTCAGTGTATGACACAAGCCTGAGGGGGGAAAAAACTTAAAAGACGGAACTAAGAGAGAGACAGAAATAGGGGAGCCAGGACGGCCAATGCTGGTGCAAGCAGCAAAGGTGCTGGTATGTCGAAGCCGCTAATTTTTATTAGTAATTAACTGGGGTAAAGGTGAGCTATGTGCAACGAAGGGACTGCCTAAGAAGATGGCATAGTCATGTGGTTTCTATGGAAATTAGCTTAAGCAAGATTCTAAGGACAAAACAAAGCATTTTCAAGTTAGGAACAGAATAGACAAAATACATGGTTGTAATTAGAACACTGTCCTTCTACTTCAGAAGGTTTTAACTGTGGGAACGAAATTGGGGTGTTAGTTACTCTGACCTCAGCATGTAGGTTTCTACCAGACTCACTCCTATAAACAAGCCATTTGTGGGACTAACTCTCTACAGCCTGCATTGCTTACAGCCTGCTTTGGGCATAATCAATATTGGGGTCTCACACACAGAAGGCAATGGCCCACAAAAGATATAACACCTAGCCAACCCCATGCTGGGGCCAGGGCCACAGCACAGCTCAGACCCAGAGGCAAGGGCTCCATGGGACATTCCAGAAGAGGTGGGCAGAGGAAGGCAGGGAAGGCATGTGACAGGGAAGGCCTCTGCAATAATTTGCAGAATGCAGGAGCAAAAGCTTTTTGTCTCCTTTGGTAGTACAGCTATACTCTACCCTCGGGCTTACACGCTCTGAACAAAGCATCAGACCCTTTGCACATCAGCCTCCCTACACCAAAGCCCAGAAGTAGAGCACAGATCCCAAACTGCCATGCACGTGGAGGCTAAGAACTGAGTCTCCTCCACATTCAGACATACACCAGCCCAGCTGGCAGCATGGTGGGCTGGTGAGCAGGGCCACATCTCCCTGGGTGCATAGGCTCACTCAGGCTGGTCAACGCTTTTCAGACACATTCTCATGGACAGTGATGGCCTTGGTCAGCTCGGGGGTGTCTGGGAAGAAAAGATGAGCTGGGCTTTGGAGATGGCCTTCAACCTTCAAGGCTGAGCAGCACCAAGGCACTGGGAGCAAAGTGGGGGTATCTCATAGCCCCAGCACAGCACAGCACCTGCCCCTAGTCCTTCAGCACTGGCCACCACTCCACACGACTGCTATAATGAACATCCACCCTTCATAAACTTATGTGGAGTATTTCCTCAGAATTAGAATATTGATTTACTTGCAGCCTCATAAAAATATATTTTTAGAGACTTAA